GATATACCCTGCGTTGAATGCTCCCATCAGCTCCTTTACTCAATAGTACATCTAGGAATGGAAGCGATCTAGATTGTTTTTCTTCTAGGGTAAATTTTATCTTTACTGGTTTGAATAATAGTTGAATATTTAAACGACCAGTCTTGGGTGCATTCATTTTCATCGAACTGGGCTTACAGTAAAACAAAGCTGACGAAGAATAAGCGGAATTTCTGTTTTTCAAGCAAATATAAATCTGTAACAAATTTGTTAAACCATGTAATTATTTTTCGATTTTTACTAAATTTCAGGTAGTAGTGACTGATTCAGGTTATGAGATAGAGTCAGTGCCGGGTTAGTTACATATTTGCTTGTGTTTGTTTCATGATTTAGTTCACCAAATTGAATGTAATTTTACTTACAGGTTATAAACTAACAAGCATACCACCGAAAATCGATTGCGCTGCAGTATCTTTAGATCGTGTAAGATACCAGGGTTTTAGACTTGGAGGACGTAGACGAGCATTTTTTATGTTTAAAATAGTTCAGATTCTTAATGTTTATACATTTTACTCAAACACACTAAACCTATATTTTCCGATCTCCATGTAAGCACAACCCCGTTTGATTTGTTCTATGTGAAACCCATTTGAACAAAATGCTCACTTTTTCTAAATGCACTTTGTCAGGAGGAATCATTGTAGTTGTGGAAGATGTGTACATTATGTAACTTTGTACAAGGCACCCATTAATTTTATCTTGACAACAACTAAGTATCGATGTAAAACGGGAGGTTGGTGTGCGTATACCGGTAAGTGCCCTGCCGTAGGTAGATTGTCATCCCAGATTTAGCCCAGCGAAAAGTCGAAAATGAGAACAGTTAGCGGAGGCATGAAAGTCCTAGGTTCTAAGTAAACAATTTTAAAACGAGTGTACAGCTTAGCTAAATCATCGCATGTCATAAACACTTTTTAATCGAAACACTTATATAATACATTTGTTACTCTTCAAAGTTAGTTGTATTTTTCGGGACGATCGTGGGCTTTTGAGTAGATATTAACGACTGTATTAGGACCAAAATATAATTGTATTTGCCTGATGATGAATTTATCAAAAACGTTCGTTCGCCAACCTTGACTTTCCAAAATTTAATAGGTTTTAGTTCTGTAATAGGTTTTGTTGATACTTTTATCTTTTACCATGCAAACTTCCATATATTGTTCCACAAAAAATTATATGAGAAGTGTCTGGTCAATAGGATTGTAAACACAATGAAAAAAGGCATGAGGTTTGAAATTTACCACATTCTTCATTAAATATTGCCTAATGCTCTGAGTTGCAAAAAATAATGGGCTCCTAGACACTCCTCTCTGGATAAAAATTAGCCATACACAAGAAAGAAACGAGTCATTGTCAGACTTAATACCCTGTGCTACTAAACCGTATATCTTTTAAATTAGTTTTCAAATTGAAACACTTATTTTCACATTTGGTTGCCGCCAGAGGACAAAACGGTGAAAAACAGGATGTTATGCGTACACAAATAACTTAGCAAGTATATAAGGGGTTGCAAGGCATTTATCCATGGGCAGCTTAAGTCATTTCAGAATTAATAACCAACCCACGGCAGTTAGAATATAAAGGATTTGGAAGTGCTTGCATGGTTCGCTGTCAGTAGGAGACAGAAATAAGAACGCTCCACGCGTAATACAAGCGAAAGGCGCTTGATTCTAGGAATATTAAATAGTCCCGTGTTTTAACCCTATCACAAGCCCAACCAAAATCATGATCGCAACCATTGCAATTAACCCAACCTTAATCGTACTACTCACCTTAAACCTAACTGTAATCTCCTCAGAATCTTCCGCAGTGCCACATAAATTAGGAGTAGTCAGTTTTTCAAGAGTCTGTAAGAGGGGAGGCATGCATATAGATACTTCCTTCATATAACTATTACGAAATTTTACTGTTTGATACAGATTAGAGTAGCAGTGGTTGCGTGAGGGCAGTTTTGATTTTTCGTAAAATCTATCGAAAACCATATTCTTGGTCCTTTGCTTACGCCCGAAAACAAAATATTTTAATTTAAAACCATAGCAGCTAGCTCCTTGGGATCACTTTATACAGCCTAAATGGAATTTGTAATCGACTTAGAAGTTGGACAAACATTTTTGTGGTTATCTTACGTAACAGCCTTTTTACCGAGTTCTATAGGTTAATATTCTCGTCTAACGGTGATTGAAAATTTCGAAGATGCTTGCCGTTTTCTCGACAAATACCACTGAATTGCATCTTAGAATTATAGCAACTTTCTGTTCTCGTATGCACTATAACTTTTTGTAGACTGGTAAGTTAGTCAGTTCTGGCGCCTTAAGTTAAACCTTTATCTGTCTGGTGCTTTGTCTTTTTAAACTTGTTCCCGAACAAAAAGTTTTAGTCTGCAGCATTTCTACCGCCTTAGTTATTTTAAGGCAGTTTTTCAACTCAGGGGAAATGTTTTGTCATCTAATCTCCGCACAGCGGAGTCTTCGCTGCTCGTGAATGCAGCCGCTCGTCCATAGTACTTTTCTGGTGTATGTAAGCGTGGAAGACAACACTTTACCGCCTACTATAAAGCTTCAAATAGCCAACTACCGAACTTAAGGATTTAAGTGCAATTTCATTAAGCAGAACAGTTCATGTTGTAGGCATTGTGCAACGTTGCCATAAACTACAACGAAACCTTTGTAGGTGAGATGTTGTGATTAAGAATCCATTGAAATTTTAAAACTGATGAATCGAACAGAAAGCGTACAGGCGATCCTGGGGGACCCACCGATGAGCCGGACTCAACGCAGTGGCAGAATACCAGTGAAACACATGTTTGGACTTTTACCTTGTATCTGTGCTGCCAATGTGCTAAACAGTTGCATAAATTGTCAAAATGTCCAACGATAACTAAGTAACTTGTTTTTGGTCTACAAATTACGAAAATGATAGGTTCAGTTGATTTCTGACGCAGCAAATTGCTAGCAGCAAGGTGTGGGAATGTCAACCTAATAAGCTTTTAGTTTTAGCGACGAATACCGAGAGCTTTAGCTGGAACACAGGAAAGCCTGAGCTCAAAAATGTTCATATTTATTTATAGTTATCCTTTATTTGTTTCATTATCTTGCTTATCGGACTAACCGGCCATTAGTAGTCTCGAATTATTTAATTATGCCTCATAAAAAAAATGGAAATATGGACGCCTTGTTCAATTAATAAAGCTGACACTGTGCATAATTCCAGGGTGATTAAATGTTCCCATGACCCAAGCTGTACACTAACCCCTAACAAATACCTTAACTCCTTCCGTCATCTGAACCCACAGTTAAAACCTATCCTAAATTGCCTTATCAGGAACCGCAAAATTAATCCCAACCCTTCGCCTAACACTATTCTCTCTAGAGATTGACATAAAGATACCGGTAGCGAGTGTAGTTTCTGTTTTAGGGGCAAAATGCGTTATCCTTACCGCACAATCTCTCAAACATGCTAAGAGATTTGCCTTTTTTTTTTTAGCAAACGGTGACTTTTAAGGGAATCTTATAAACTTCTGTATTTTTAGTCAAGCACCAAGTTAT